TATCTCACTCCTCTCCCCTACAGAAGAGTCCCATCACAGCAATGAGGACAACTTAGAATGAGAATCCAATGATGTCACTTCCTTACTTAAAATCCATTCCAGTAGGTTGCCTTTGCAATGAGAATAAATTCCAAACTCCTCACCATGGTTACACATGCTGGTCCCCACTTCTCACCCTCAGAACCCACATCCTACCACTCTTCCTCTTCCTGACCACTATGTTCCAATCACACTAGATTAATTCCATTCCTTACAACAGCAGAGATGCCTAGGACTATCTTGTCTTTAGTCCCATTTCTCTCTATTCCATTTCCTCTTTTATTTTCTCATAGAAAACAAAATTCTCATTTATCGGTTTAGCTGATTAGCATCTGCCTCTCCCTACTAAAATGAAGGCTTTACCAATAAAGGACACAAATCCACCTCTCCATCCACTCAAAACACTGAAAAATCCTGGGGATAAATCAATAAACAAAGTGGGAAAAATTCTTGCCCTCACAAAACTCACATGTATGTGAAAGGAGACAAACAGAAAGCAAATAAACAAGCACACACTTTGTCACATGGTGCTAAGTGTTGTGGAGAAAAGTGAAGCTGGTAAAAGATACCAAGAATGTTGGGTGATGGGGAAGGCATATACTAATCGGTGTGGCCCCCGATCAAGTGACATTTGTGCAAGATCTGAGGGAGATGAGTGAGAGCCCTGAGAATTCTGTGGGAAAGAGAATTTTAGGCAGAGGGAACAGAAAATGCAAAAGGAGGATTAACCACAAGGAGAATATGATTAGACAGGAGATAGATGAGGGCAGTCCAGAGATAAGGGCAATCCAGAGATGACAAGGAATCAGAAGATGCAGGGCGCTGGAGATTATGATAAGGGCTGTAACTTTACTCTGAGTGATTTGGAAAACTATTTTGATGGAAGAGTGACATGATCTGACTTCTGTTTTCAATGGATCACTTCACTGCTGTATAGAGGACAGACTCAGGGAGAGAGGCTATAGGCAGACAAAGGTTACAAACAGAACCTTCTTACGGCAATCCAGGAGAGAGGGTTTGATAAGGATGAGGATGGAGGAGGTAAGTGGTAGATTATGGATATGTTTCTGACTGGTGAAAGTGCGTAGATGGATGGGCTATAGGGTATGAGAGAAAGAGCAGAGTCAAGAATGATGTCAAGATTTTTGAGCTGAGCAAACAGGAAAATGCAGTTGGTGTAAGAAATTGGGAAGATGCAAGAGAGGCATATCGGCAGAGGGTGTACAATCAGAGGTTCAATTTTGTAAAATTTGAGATTCCCATAAGATATCTAAGCAGAGATGACAAATAAGCAGATAAGCATGTAAATGTGAAGGTCCAAAGAGAGGTCTGGGCAAGAGATAGAAATATGAGTTGATAATATATCTTCTCTATCATTAATCTGTTGTCATGGAGTCAATTCCAACTAATAATCACCCTACAGAACAAAGTAGAACTGTCCCACAGGGTTTCCAAAGATGCAAATCTTTATAGAAGCAGACTGCTTCATCTTCCTTCTGCAGAGGGGCTGACAGGTTTGAACCATCAAGCTTCTGGTTAGCAGCCAAATGCCTTAACCACTATACATACCACCAAGGATCCTTACTAACTGGCATAAGTCCCAAATAAAGGGGATACTGATACTCTTATCTGGGTAATTTTTTAAATACGTCACCTGATCTTTCTCTTTTCTTTTTCCATTGACCTATATCAATGTGTCACTCCTTTCAAAAACAAAAGCTCTGATTCTATCTGAATTGAACCACAAGAAGGGCACTGATTTTCTATAATTATTTCTAGAGTCGACTTATTCTTGAAGGGACTGCTTTGCTTCTGTGAAAAGTCCCACCTTTGTCCCCCAGAGTTACATACTATAGCTCTGTACCTTTTTATCCCCTTCCCAAGGTTTTCAGCCCTTTTCTTTGCCTCAAATGAAGAGAAATTTTGGCACTATATACTAGAACCATTGCCCTGCCCCTGGCCCTCAAGTCCAATGTTTCAGTTATAAGCAAGGACCTACGTGAATTCAATAATAATCACCCTTGAAAAAGCCCCCACAAAAAAATGAAAGAATTAAAATATCTTTCATTGCATCCTCTTATCTTACATTCTTAACAGTTACGGGTTTTAGCCTTCCAGATGCCTTTTATGCACAAATAAACATATACAATCTCAATATTTTAAACAACTGTATAGTTATATTAGGTATGTTTTGTGATTTTTTTAAAATTCAATAATGTGTAACAGAAATATTCCATAAAGATGGCTTAGCATTTCACTGATTGAATAATAATTAAACAAATCCCTTACTAATGAGTATTTTGCTTGTTCTCATTTTTCACATGACAAACGATACCACAGCGATCATCTTTGACATTATCTCTGTGAGCACTCCTATTGGATACATTTACATTGGTGGAATGGGTGGATTAAAGGGCAGACCAACTACATTCTGCTAGGTACTGTCAAACTACCCTATTTCCTCCCACCCTAGTAAACACTGGATATAATATCTAATCTTTATAAATTTGATAAATAAAAAAGTTTTCATTCAATATGATTTTTTTAATTGTAGAATTGAGCACCTTTCCATGTGTCTATTAGTGATATGTATGTCTTCACTCATTTGACTACTTTTTTACTATGTGTGTGACCCTGGGTATATATTGTTGAAGTGAATAGAAATGACCCCTCCCCTCAGGAGATATAGTCAACACATCAGTAAATGTAAATTATGACAAATGCTGAGAGGGAAAGGAACAGGATATGATCTGGAGAACAGCAAGGAAGGGAACATTACTCTGAAATGATGGTCAAGAAAAGCTTCTTGAAGAAGGTGACATTTAAGCTATAGAATAAGAGAGTTATTTGTGCATAAAGCCAGACTATGGGTAGAGAGATAAAATAATGGTTATATAGAATAATCCTTGCAAAATTCTAGAGGCGGGATACCATTTTCCACAGCTAAAGAACAGAAACAAGGACCATGGGACATGCATATGGTTGGGAAGAGAAAAGGTGAACTTGTTCTCTGAAATGCCTCTTCATGTTCTTCACTCATTTTTCTAATGGATTTTCAGCAGTTTGGTTATTGATTTGTAGGAATTTTTATATAACATATATTAATCCTTTGTCATACTTTACAAATATTTTCAACTTGAAAATATTTGAATTTTGACAAAATATTGACAATTTGAATTTGTCCTCCCCCACCCCAACAATGCTTACTATATCTTTTACCAAAAAAAAAATTTTGTGTATCAGGTCAACTTATCAATCTTTTCTTTTAGTTTATAGGTTTTATGTCATCTATCTTAATATACAATTATAAAAATACACTTCTGGGATTTCATTTTTTCATATATATATTTAAATGTTTGCTCCATCTGGAATTTATTTTGTGTGAAAATTAAGGTCTGGATCTGCTTTATATTTGCTGCCCTTATCTAAAAAAAGGCAGTCCATTGGTCCTTAAATCAGTCAAAAGATAATATATGTTCCCTGCTGAACTAAAGAATGAAGCTGTATCCTGTAAGTGTAGACTATGCATAAGACCACTCTCAGATTGTACTGGATGAGACTGGGATATGAATTAGTGAGGTACTGTGCTCTGTAGAGACACGGTATAATGAGAAAAGCAAAGAAGGGGAATGACAATCAAAAACATCAATTTTTACACAGGGAAGAGGTAACTATGGGGAAAAGAACTGTTACACTGTCGGGAATTGCAGTCAATGTCATGAGACAAAATGTGCATAAACTGCCGTACAGAAAATGGATTTGCTCTGCAAAATTTCCCCCAAATCACAATAACAATTTATTAAAAAATCAATTTTTAAATGCTGAGTGCACAACATGTAACTATGAAATAAATGCTTTGTAAATACCTATTTAATAGATCAAAAGAAGAGTAAATAAAGATTAACAGCAGCATATTTACCTTATATGTGTTTGTTGTTTAGCTAAGGCACCCCACATATCACTAATAATCTGTAAACAGATTTTAAAACACTTCAGAATAGCAGTTTTGGGAAATATAACACTTTAACTAAAACAAACTTTAAAACTTCTAATTAGAAATATGAGATAGATGGAGATAGGAGATAACTCAAAAAATACCTATAACAATATAATTTTATAGTGTTTGATCATATCTAATTTAATACCCACCAACCCAGTAAGGTAGATTTTTTCATCTTCTTTGCAAATAAGCAAATGGGCTCAAATGGATTAAATGCTCTCCCTGAAGGTGAACAACCACCAAGAAGCATTGCTGAGTCCTAAAACCAGGTTTCCAGCTTCAAATTCATATTCAGCACTCCTTCCGCTATGCCAAGGTTGCTTAATTACATACACAAAACTGGAAAATTGGTTCAGAAACTGATAATCATAGCTGTAAGCATTTGAAATACACTTACTACAGTTTCCTATGTAGCAGGCACTGAGAGGTCCTCTAATCTGAAATCTTATGCACAGTATGGCTATTCTCTACAACATTTCTACAGGTTTTAATCCAGCCCTTGAAAGAACCATCCAGCCGCTGCTACTTGAATCTTCAATATTTTCCTAATCAGTCCTTCCCAACTCTGGACAGCTCTGGTCAGAAGTCCTACCTCCTGGAACTGGCCATATCTCTACTTAAGGAGTAAGAATGTGTATAATCCTATCTTCAAGTGACAGGCTTTCAAAAGTGTGAAAATAATTATCCTCTTTCCATTGGAGTCTTTTCTTCTTTAAACCAAACATCCTACCTTCTTGAATCTATCTCTAGCCATCCAGGTGGCTTCTTCTACATACATTCTAGATTTCAATGCCTAATGTTTGAGTAGCTACACACGCAGATAAAGCATGCAAACATGCAAAGAAAGGGCAGGCCCTGCCATGCAGGTAGAACGAACTAGATATGTGCTGATTTGAGTTGAAATTGCTGTGGGAATACAATATGGAGGGTAATGTGCCAACTCTGGCTCTTGTTCTCCCCTTGCTTTTATTTTTTAAAAATAATTTATCTTTTGTTGTTATTGAGAATACGCATAGCATAATCCCTTTGCTTTTTAATGAACAAAATATGAGGCTGGTAATAACTCTTCTGATTTTCCAATTCTGCCATCTATTAAAATCGAGGTGATAATATCTATCTACTTTAAAGGACTGTTATTGAATAACCAACTGAAATAACACAGGTGAAAAGATTTTGGAAAAGTACAAAGCACAGTACACATATATAACATGAATGAAAATTCTACAAATACATGATATTGGTTAACATACCAGTGGATACTGTATAAATCATAATACAAATCACTTAGAAATATATATTTTAAATATTTAAAGAAACAGTAATTTTAAAAAAGAATTTTTTTCAAAAAAGATAAAAAGAAAAAACAATATATAAACATTAAAAACAAGTCAGTAATGATTTATTTATTCAGGAAAAAAAAGCTTTATCGGGGAGAATATGATCTCTATGTTTCTTTCAAAATAAGGCCACTATCAAAACCTGAGCCATCCTTTCACTGTATCTATTTTATCCTGACAGATAGCAGACTATTTCAAAGGCTTGTAATTGTAGATCAAAGCTATGAGTAAAAAAAAAAAAATAAAAATACAGAATATGTTTAATAAAACCCATGTTTAATTATATCAGATTAACATTTAGCTAAATGTAAGTGCATGTAACTATGCAAAAATAAGAAGATGTTTTATTACAAGGAAGAGCTCAGATGTGATAAACATACCTTCCTAACAATTGCAATAAACACAACAAGAACCACAGGAAGCAGCAATGTCTTCGTATACCTCAATGGAGTCTGAAATTCACAAACATGTTTTGTTAGAAGAAAATGTTATTTTAGACAAACAAAATTTCATTTAAAATAACAAGCCAAGTGAATTTTAAAAAGTATAGGTAGAGAAATAGGAGCATTCATCCAACTAGGGTCTAATCTACCTACTTTCTCCTACCACAGGAAAGGAGGTACTTTCCAGAGAAACAAACTTCCCTAGGACAGTGAATTAAAAATACTAACAAATATAGTTCCCAAACATGTATGAAATATGATTGGAGGGATGACTGTTCACATTTTGCACAAGACTTGCCTAACTAGAGAACATGGCTGAATATTAATCTAAGGTCAGTAGAGCTCCTTTAATAAGACTTTCCTATACATTTTGTGGGGAATAAAAATCTTACCCATGATACACACACACACACACACACACACACACACACAATGACCAGTATTTACAAGATTAACAAAACACATTTTATTTAGTAACATAATTGTAGAAAAATATTTTTAGTAACAGAGCTCCACAACATTGCAGTCCTCTGCTCCTCTCAGTAGTTTTTTTAGGTCAGTCTTAAAAATTTGGGGCTTCAAATTTCTAAACTCTCATTTATTTCCTTTCTCCTAACATCTCTCACAAATAAATGCACATTATTAAATCAAATACTAAATATTTTTGTGATAGTTGGAGCTGTGTGTCAACTTGGCTGGACCCCAGTTCTGTGTGATTGTTCCCAGGATGGGATCAGATGACTGTGTTCTGAGTGGCCAATCTGCCCAAGGGGAGTTTCCCTAGGGGTGTGGCCTGCTTCCAGGATATCCAGGGACATTCTGGGAAGAGAGACATTCTTTTGTGGATCGGGATCCTGGTGTGCTGACTACAACCTTCCATGAGTGAGCAGCCCACCGCTCGGCCTGGAGATCTTGGATTCATCTTTCGTTGGAGTCAACAACCAGTGTACTGCCTGCCAGCCTCGAATTTCTCGGCCCCCTGCAGTTGCGGAAGCTAAGGCTGCCTCCACCCAATGTTTCCTCCAGGGACTTTGGACTTGCCGACTTCTATATGTTTGTGAGCCATTTTCCTAAGATAGATTTCTCTCTCTCTCTCTCTCTATAAGCTTTGCTGGTTTTTGTTTATCTAGAGAACCCAGTCTAACACAATTTTCTTTCTAAATATTGTCATAAAGAGAAATCTAATCTCAATCACATTAAAAATATCAGTTCTTAATTCTACAAAGTATACAGTAAGGAGCATTTACTGATTTTCTGACTCATTACACTGATTTTCTGGCTTACTATTCCATACTGTTGCTACAGTTTCTATGTGTCATCGAGCTGATTCTGATTAACAGTGACCTCATGTGACAGAGTAGAAATGTCTATGGAATTGTAAGCAATACTATAATCTTTATTGGAGAGGATCACCAGGTCTTCCTCCAGCAGAGCCGCTGAGTGGGTTTGAGCTGATCAACCTTTCAGTCAACAGCCAAGCGCTTGCTTACCCATTGTACCATCAGGAATCCTTAAAGCTAGTAGCTAAAAATAGACTCTTTAAATAATATTATTCTTCCCTAAACTCTCTCATTGTGTTAGCTAAAAAGACAGGACATAAAGAAAAGACCAAAAAGGATGTCAGAAGAGAGTCTGAAACTTGCTCTTAAACAAAGAGTAGCTAATGTGAATGGAAAGAGAGATGAAGTAAAGAACACTGAACAGATTTCAAAAGGTGGGTTAAAAGGAAAAAAAAAAGTAAAGTATCATTACGAAATGTGCGAAGACCTGGAGTTAGAAAACTACAAGAGAAGAACATGCCAGATGTTTCTCAAGCTGAAAGAACTGAAGAAAAAATTAAAGCTGCGAAGTGTAATACTGAATGATTCTATGGGAAAATATTGAATGTTGCAGGAAGCACCAAAAGAAGACTGAAGGAAAACACAGAGTCATAGTACCAAAAAGAACTGGTCAATTTCAAGAGGTAGCATATGATCAAAAACCCATGATACTGAAGGAAGAAATTCAACCTGTACTGAGGCACTGGTGAAAAAAAAAAAGGCTCCAGGAATTGATGGAATATCAATTGAGATGTTTCAGATAACAATGTAACGTTAAGAAATTTGGAAGAAAGCTACCGGGTCAACTGACCGGATCCCTCACCACCCCCAAAAAAATCAAACCAAACTCACTGCCATCGAGTTGGATCCAACTCATAACAACCTCTCCTTAGGTTTCTGAGGCAGTATCACTATGAAAGTAGATTGCCTAATCCTTCTTCTGAGGAGTGGCTGCAGGGTTTGAAACACCAGCCTTCTGGTTAGCAGTCAAATGCCTTAGGCATTGCACCACCAGAGCTCCTAACTGACTGAAGATTTCCATATTGTCTCCATTCTAAAGAAAAGTGATCCAATAGAATGCAAAAATTAATTGAATAATAACATTAATATCACAAACAAGTAAAATCTTCCTGAAGATAATTTAAAAAACAAACAAACAAACAAAAATGGTTATAGCAGTACATCAACAGGGAACTGCTAGAAATTGAAATTGGATTTGGAAGAGGATGTGGAATGAGGGATATCACTGCTGATATGTGAGGGATCTTAGCTGAAAGCAGAGAATACCAGAAAGATGTTTATCTCTATTTCATTGACTATGCAAAGGCACTCAACTGTGTGGATCTTAACAAATTATGGATAACATTGCAAAATGGGAATTCAGTAACACTTATTTATACTCATGCAGAACATGTACACAGACCAAGAGGCAGCTGTATGAACAGAACAAGGGCATACTGCATGCTTCAATATCAGGAAAGATGTTTATAAGGATTGTATCCTTTCACCATACTTACTTATTCAATGTGTATAAGGATCTCTGGTGGCACAGTGCGTAAGACATTTGACTGTTAACCAAAAGGCTGGTGGTTCAAACCCACCAGGTGCTCCTTGGAAGGAAGATGGGGAAATCTTCTGTAAAGACTTATCACCTTGGAAACCCAATGGGAGTCGCTATGAGTCAGAATCGAATTGACGGCAGTGGGTTTATTTAATCTGTATGCTAAACAAATCATCTCAGAAGATGGACTACATGAAGAAGAACATGGCATCAGGAGTAGAGGAAGATTCATTCATAACCTGTGATATGCAGATAGATGACAAATCCTTGTTTGCTAAAAGTGAAGAGGACTTGAAGCACTTACTGATAAACATAAAGAACACAAAAATCCTCACAACTAGACCAATAGGCCACATGATAAACAGAGAAAATACTGAGGTTGCCAATGATTTAATTTTACTTGGATCCACAATCAACGCCCATGGAAGCAACTGTCCAGAACTCAAAAGATACTGTGATGGGCAAATCTGCTGAAAAAACCTCTTTAAAGTGTTAAAATGCAAAGATGTTACTTTGAGAACTAAGCCATAGTATTTTCTATTGCTTCATATGCATGTGAAAGCTGCACAATCAATAAGGCAGATCAAAGAAGAATTAATGCATTTGAATTATAATGTCGGCAAAGAACAGTGAATATAACCATGGACTGCATGAAGAATTAACAAATCTGTCTTAGAGGGAGCACAGCCAAGAAATTCCTTCAAAGCAAGGATGGTGAGACTTTGTCTCACATACTCTGGACATGTTATCAGGAGGGATTAGTCCCTAGAGAAAGACATCTTGCTGGTAAGGGAGATGGTCAGCAAGACAGAGGAAAACCCTCAAAGAGATGGACTGATAACACAGTGCGTGGCTGCAACAATGGGCTCAAACATCGTAAAGACCATGCGGGTGAAGCAGCACCAGGCTGTTCTGTTGTACATTGGGCTGCTATGAGTCGGAACTGACTTGACAGCACTTAACAAGAACAACAAACTCCATTGTTGTTGGCTGCTGTCAAGTCATTTTTGACTTACAGTGATCTCTTATTACAGAATCGATCTGCCCCACAGTTTTCTAGGCTGTAATCTTTATGGCAGAAGATTGTCAGGACTTTCTCTTGCACTCCAAACCAAACCAAACCAAACTCACTGCCGTGGAGTCAGATCCAACTCACAGCAACCCCTCCTTGGGTTTCCGAGGCAGAATCACTACAGAAGTAGATTGCCCAATCTTCCTTCTGAGTAGTGTCTAGTGGGTTTGAACCACCAGCCTTCTGGTTAGCAGTCAAATGCCTTAGGCACTGTGCCACCAGAGATCCTTCCTCTCGTACTAGGTAACCTTCTGTTTAACAGTTCAGCACTTAACCACTGCAGCATCAGGGCTCTTTAGTCCATATTAGATGTGTAATCTTGATAATTTGTTTTAAAAATTGCAAATTTCATACAAAAGTCCATTAAAGAGAGAAGCTTTAGATTTTCCTTTTACTATTTACCTTTATAAATACTTGCATAGTACTTAATATTAAAATTATAATCCTGTTTGGTAAATTTTCAATTATGGCTGAACTTAAGCAAAACAAAAATGTAAATAAAACTATTTTATCATTTAAGTAATCAAATTTTTTTTCCATTAACAAATAGTAATAAACATAAGAACAATGTAAGATAGGTATGTGCCTAAAATTTGAACGTCAAAACTGGTTGAAATATTTAACAAAAGTGTTCGAAAAAAAATTTTTAATTATGCTAAAAAAACTTTTGAAATGTGTATTTTAATATTTGTGTTTGACAGAAAATCAGATTAACATTAGACTTAGACAGCAATACCTTAGGGCAGATAATGGAGTAACTTATTTAAGATACTGAAGGAAAGCACATGAGCCAAAGATTTTCTATCTCACTGAACTGAACTTTGTATATAAAAACTATAGGTAAGCTATTTTGAACATGTAAACAATGCACAAATTATTGTTCCCATGAGCCCTTCCTGAGGAATCCACTGGAGAGCACCACACAACCGAGAATGGCAGAAGCTTCAACTTCAAAACTGGTACTGAGTGTTGAAAACAAAAAAGAAATTACCCACAAAATTATGACAAAGTAATAGGGATAAAGGTGACAGAATAGTATGAGTGGTTCTATGTGCAAGCAATGAAGCTACAACGGAACTATTAAAACATGGGGGAAGAAGAGCAAAGTATACAAGAAGTACAGTGATCTCGATGACTATTAAAAAAAAATGTTGCTGTCATATAGACTTCAACTCACAGTGACCCCACCCCATCTGTGTCAGAGCAGAACTGGGCTCCACAGCATTTTCAATGGCTGATTTTTTGGAAACTGATGGCCATGCCTTTCTTCTGAGGTGCTTATGAGTGGACATGAACCTAAAACCGTTCAGTTAGTAGTGAAGTGCAGGGATTCCCTCATTGATTATAGTATTGTAATAAACTAGAATGAGGTGGGAAGTAGGAATGGGGCAAAAGTTTTTTAGGTAAGTTCAGTACTATTCTCAGTAGGAAGATGACAAAAAGAGACTAAGGATATTATAAAACCAAACAAACAAACAAACAAACAAACAAACCCATTGCCGTGGAGTCAGATCCGACTCACAGTGACCCATCTTTGGATTTCCGAGTATTACTACAGAAGTAGATTGCCCAACCTTCCTTCTGAGGAGTGGTTGGTGGGTTTGAACTGCCAGCCTTCTGGTTAGCAGTCAAGTGTCTTAGGCACTACGCTACCAGAGCTCCCAAGGATATTATATAAAGGTATTAATAAAGAGCAACAATGGGCTCAAGCATAGCAAGGATTGTGAGGAGGGTGAAGGGCCAGGCAGTGTATCGTTCTGTTGTTCACAGGGTCGCTATGAGTTGGCACCAACTCAATGGCACCTAACAATAACAAAGAAGTAACGTTTAGAACAAAATTATGAAACTTCTTAAATACTAAAAGATACACCAGAGAGAGTACTGTATTTTTTTTCACAAATAAAGCACGCACATAAATAACACATCCACACATATGATGTACATAAAGCGCCTAGGAAAATAATACTCAAGAAGTTTGTGCACCTAGCAAAACCATATAACACGTGTTATTTGCATAAAGGTATGGTATAAGCACATCAGAGAACAGGCAAAGGAAACAAATCAGACAGTGAAAGACAAGTGTATGTGTTCCATTAAAATTAAAAATTCTTTTATCATTTCTTAAAAACTGTTAATAATGTTCTTCTAAGCTTGAAAGTTATACATGCTTACTGTAAAAGCTTTAGAAAATGCAGAAAAAATAAAGATGACAAATAATTTCACATTTAAACATTCATCACCATTTCCTCTCCAACAGACTATTAATATTAACAGCCTTTGGTGATTTCTACCTGGTGGGATTTTTTTTTGAGGGGAAGGGGTTGAGAGTCCTTGATATCTTTGCATTCATTTGGACAAGTTTCTATTATAATTACATTAATCCCTAGTTTCTTTTGTTATATTTATGGTAAGAATTATTCCAGATAGTCATTCATCTTTAAATTTTTAAAATACTTAATGTACAGATGTTTTAAGATACATGAAGACAAACCTACTAATAATTCTTATATGAGCTCTTCCACTAGTATTACAACCAATCAGATATTAAGCCCATTCAGAGATGAAGTTAATATTCACTCAAATGTCTTTCAAATTTATTTTTCAGGCTTCATTTTTTTTAAACAAGTTAATTAATTGCAAAGAAGCCTGGTACATAATGTGATACAAGACTTTAAGCTAACGCCCCATCATAGGATTCATAAAATAAAACATCTTTTCTCCATTTATCTGTGATGCTTTCTTCATTCCATATCAAGAATATACACAGACACAACAGTAAGAACATACACATGGGTCTACCCCATGTTACCTATTTTCTGCCATAAAAATATTCTTGTCTTGGTATCTCTGTACTTTAAATATTGCTATTTTCATATATGAAAGGGAAAGATACTTCTCACTGGTTTACCTTCTATTAATAAAATTATTAAAATATATGATCAATGTAGAAAACTTTAGAAAACACAACTTACCAAAAAAAGTTAATCATCAATTATCTCTTCATCTAAAAACTGTTAAAGTTTTGCTTTCTTACCCTTTGTGTGCATTAATTGTACTTAAGTGAAATCAAACCATTTGTTACTCTATTACATGTATTAATTATCTTTCTATATCAGTACTACATGATGTTAAACTGTCCCCCTTTCCTACTGTACTGAAACATCGAAAAGGTGTACTCCCTAAACTGGAACTGTACTGTCCCTACAACACAGTTGCTATGAAGATGCCTGGACACGTGGGGCATCATGAGCTTCATCATGTTCTTCAAATCACCAAAGTCATGCTATACCTCAATAAACAACCTCCTCCATCATGTCTCTGATGGCTAAAACTCTCAGGTGGTACTGGCATTTACAATATCCTCAATAATGTTAAAGGCCTTTCACTAAGTCCTAATCATTCCTACACCTTTTATTAGCCATCATGTGTCAAAACCATTTGCCAGAACACAAAATAAATGAAGACCGATAGGTCACTGGCATAAACAGTACATCTGCAGGAGACATTCAACTCAGAATAACTTGTAGCTGAGAGTCTGCCGTGTGACTCAGTAGCATCCACTAGTCTGTGGACGTTGGGATCGCTCTCAGTGGGCTGGTGGGGGAGAATGAATATGTCTGCAGAGTATCGTGGGCCAGTTTAATATATACACATCTTTGAACAGTTTTACAAATTATATGTCATAATAAACCAGGGCACATGCAAGGTGTTAAAAAAGCCACAAATGCCTGTTGAATCAAACTAGCTCATAAAGTACTGCCAAATAATTTTATGTAAAAATCATTAAAATATCAAAGCACTTTCCTATGTATTACCTCATCTTGTCTGGACAATTTTTGCAGCACACTATTAGAAACTAGTAAACTATGACCCCAAAAATAAGGATCTCTTGTTCAAGAACATAAAAGAATATTCCAGGCTTCTGTCTCAAAGTCCACTAAACTACTCTTTGGTTTCCCTATAGACATCTAAGTACAGTTTTAGAAAGAAAAGTATTGTAATGAAAAAGTTGTACTCAATCATATTTTTAAAGTGATGACATTACTCAATCAAACAACAACAAAATAAGTGGCAATGTAAGAGCTGAGAACTTGGCTAAATTAATGCCTGTCTTTGAAAAGCGGCAACTTCCTCTGCCTTCACTCATCCGAGAACTACTGCAGCCACAACGCATGCTTCTAAGTTATCAAAATGAGAAAACGCTGTACATTTCAGGGAGTTGTACTAATGTAAATAGGAACATTTTCCTCTAAGCTTCCAGATTTTCCTATTCTCTCAAAGTGAGATAACAGTACACAGAGGAAAGAGTCTGAAATTAGAGGAGCATCTCTCATGAAAAATGAATAGATCTCAAAACATAAGGAAAGAAAAGTAGAAATCACATCTTACCTCCTTTTCCATAAAGTCAAACTCCGCTGCACAGGTGTACAATAAAGTATCAAAATCCTTGTAACTGAAGAATTTTGATGTTAATAAGTTGCCAATGTGAGCCTAGTAGGATATTGAATGAGGTACCATTACATTAAACCTACATTGTAATAACGCATATCTTAATGTGATCTAAAAATAGTTTTCACTACAACATAAACCCACTGTTGTCATACAGATGATGCTTTTGCTCAAAATTAAAGTGCCGTACCCTCCAACTTCACAGTTCTCCTTGTCAGCAGAAGAAGCTGACAAGTAATAGCTCTGACACCATGCTACCCTCCATACTTGGATTTTTAAACCTGGTGAAATGTACTATAAATCATCTCTCAGGAGGCAAAGGGTTGGTAACACATACAGACTTCATCAATCACATAGGGACAAAGGGTTACATAGTAAAGTAATAGAAATATTAATTCTGATTTCTAAAGAGGAGCCTGGAAAAACTTCTGGAAAATGATGGAAATGAATAGAACTTGGAATAAATGTTCATTTTGATTGAAATCAGTTTTATGCAATTCTTCATATTTCACCAAGTGCTCTCACTTATGTCACACCATTTACTTCCTATATGAAGCCCTGTGGAATTATTCTTATTTTCAAACTGAGAAAACTATGGCTCATAGACATAAAATATTTGCCAAATTTTCAAATTTATTATTGTCTAAAAATCAAGGACCAAAGGAAAGAAGGGAAATGATATCTAACACAAATCGTAATTAAAACTTCAAATGGTATCTACAGGAAGTGGGAGGACAGGGGTGGTGGGAATTGAAAAGTGGTAGGAATGTGAAGAATTCTAAAATACATTCTCTTGGTGAGGGAAGAAACATATTTTGACAACTTTAAGGAATTAATTGTTGTTGTTATGTGCCGTCGATCGGCCCCGACTCATACACATAACAACAACAATCAATTCCTTAAAGTTGTCAAAATAGAATGTACAATTTTTCAAATAGTTTAAGAAAACTATCCAATGAAAATGGAAAAAAAAATCTAAAGAGCAAGAAAATAGTTGGAAATTTTCAAAAATATGGTAAAAATAAGTTCCAATATAATTAATAATTACCATCTATGTAAGGAACTTAAATTCACTAAAGGACAGATGCTCAAATTCTTATTAAGGGAGAAAAAATGTATATTACACTGTCTCTGGGTGGTGCACATGGTTAAGAGCTTGAACCCACCCAGAGGTGCCCTGGAAGAAAGCTCTGGTGATGTTTCCAAAAGGTCGTGCAGCTCTACTCTGCACACATGGGTCACCATAAGTTCAGAATCAACTCAATAGGAACTGTTTTGTTTTGGTTTTGAATTACAAGTTGTTTACAGAAACACACTTTTGATTCAATAACACAAATAATTTGAAAGTAAAAGGATGGAAAAAGTATACCATGCAAACAGTAACCATAAGAGTTAGGAGATACATACATTATATATATACACCAGGGCCATCAAAAGTGCTATAGAAACAGTTACATCCAAATTAGAAATAATTATGTTATTTCTATTTCAATGTTATAAATTTCTGTAAATATTAATACATTATATATATATATATATATACACATACATACACATACACACACACACATATACATGTATCAATGTATCTCCTAACTCTTAGGTTTACACATTATGGTAATATGTATATACACATATTGACATCAGACAACAGAGATTTTACAACAAGAAATGTTACTAGAAGAAGAAACTTCATAATGACAAAAGGATCAATTCATAAAGAAGATGTGACAATTATAAATGTATATACACCTAATACCAGAGCTTGAAAAGAAATCAAGCAAAAAGTGACAGAAAGAAAAACTGAAAATTTAGCAATTATATTAGAGATTTTAGTAGCCTGTTCTCAATAATTGATACAACAGCTATAGAAAAGTTCAGTAAGGGTATCAAAGCCTTGAAAAAACAGTATAAACAAATTTGATCTTAGTGACATTTATAGAACAGTAGAAAACTTTTTTTTTCCACACACACACGAAATACTCTCTAGGACAGATGATATGGTAAGCTATGAAAAGTTCTTAATTTAAAAAAAAAAAAAATTGTATGTTCTCCAAACACAATGCAATCAAATTAGAAATCAAAAAACAAAGTAATCTGGAAAATACCCCCAAAATTTGGAGATTAAATAGCACACATAAATAAAATAGATTTACAGGCAAATTAGAAAATAGTTTGAACTGAGTGAAAATGAAAACAAAATATAACAAAACTGATGAGCTACAGCTAAAGCATTACTGAGAGATAAATGTAGAACATTCAACATTTGTAATAGAAAAGTCACAAGTAAGTAATCTAAGATTTTTTAAAAGCAAAAAAAAAAGACAAGCCCATGATCTGAAAGGTTACACTGAAAGAGCAACTGATTTTCAAAGTCATTTTTTAAAGCCCCCAGAATTCATTGCTACCAGAGCTCGGAAGGAAGATGGGGCAAACATACAGTAAAATTTGCCAAGTTGAAATATTTTAGCCATCGTTTTTGGCTCATCATGCTTTGACCCAAGAAGAGTATTGAAAGGGGCAGGGATGGGAAATTAAGGGTATACTGAAAACTGTTCTGATTTTCCCAACAGAACTGGGTGGAAAATGCTTCTGAGGCTCTGAGTGGCCTTGAGATTCTCTTCTTTTGACCAATGTCTAAATTAAGAGATTATAAACTAACATGCTTGGATCAATGTTACAAATTTCTGTAAATATTAAAGTTACAACTAAACTACTTCTTATTTGGATGTAACTGTTTCTATAGCACTTTTGATGGCCCTGGTGACGTTGGTCACTTAGAGCTACTCTATACCTTAACTGGTTTGTCTTCTTTGGTAAGGAGGCAGGTTCCATAAATGTGTGACTTGGGCTATTTCAACTTCTCTTTCTGCTCTCTGCATCCTGGATGATTCAACCTCCTTTCAGCTCTCATCTTAATAGTTCCTTCAAGAAGACTTTCCTGTGTATTCCTGTGGCACTCTGTACTTATTTTTATCATTACATTGTATGATAATTGCTAGGAATTGTTTCTGTCTCCCACCAGACCACATCTGGTCCAGCTTTATATCTCTAGCATGCATTCCACTGACAGTGCATAGCAGTTACATAATGAATAGAAGAATAAATAAAAACATTTTAGACTCTTAATACCCTTAAAAAATCTCTCCAGTGGTTGAAGACCACCCATATAATAGCCCAAATGTCTTTTTTTTTTTTCTAAGCAGAAAAGCCCCTTGTTCATATGAAAGCCTATGTAAGTGTCCAATATATAAGAGATTATAGCAAAGCTGCTCAGGGTGAAAGATGGGCTAGCAGTGGGTAGTGGACAAGAGAGATCCCACGCAAAAGTCCTGGGAAGTCCTAGGACTCCACAGAACCCAGTTTCAAAACCACAGCTTTAATCAATTACAGAAAGAGGAATATTAGCCAATAAAAATAACTGCAGGAAGCAATTTACTTTACTCTCTTCATGTTGGTGGTTGTATTGCTTTGTTTTTAAATTAAATGTTTGACAGCCTCCTGACTTAGAATGTGTTGATTAAACAATTAAAACAAAATAGGCAAAGCAACTATCAATATGAAGAATACTTAAAATTACAAAGGAAAATTCTCATTTTCTTTCATATATAACTACCAAAAAAAAGAAAAAATATATATATCTGAATAAGACTGATTTGGATTAAACTGGCAAAAACTGAAGCCTTCTTGAGTTCCTATTACCTATAAAGGCTTCCTTCTGAGGAGTGGCTGGTGGGTTTGAACTGCCAGCCTTCTAGTTAGCAGTCAAGTGCCTAAGGCACTATGCTACCAGAGCTCGGAAGAAAGATGGGCAATCTACTTCCGTAGTGATACTGCCCCAGAAACCCAAGGAGGGGTTGCTATGAGTCGGGTCCCACTCGACGGCACATAACAACAACATAAAGGCTTATAAATAAACCTTATAGAAGCATTAGACAGAAAATTAGGGGATAATGGGATTATAATATGATCTACAGTTTAAGAAGTTCTGAAAATGGCACCTTTTTATTTCCTTTTTCAAAAGTGAGTTATGAGGAAGCCAGATAAAAATGGCTGCGTATTCTTTAAAATTTGGGCTTAAATTTCTAGACTTTTCTTGCTTTAAATTTTTAAAATTTTGTGATATAAAAGGGTCAGTAAAAGAATTACATCAAGAAAGTAGTTTTGGAGAAAAGTGACTATACTTATAGTCACATTTACATCATATTTAAATAGATAAAATAACAAGGAGACAGACTTCCTCCTAGAAGTTGCTTTAAACAGTAATGGTTTAAATAGCTTCAGTGAGTCATATTTGAGTCATTCATTCTTAGCCTGTTTGATTCTTTCTCAGGTCTTTCAAGTAGAAGCAAAAATGCACTTACATCATCTGCAATACCAAAGATTTTAGATGTCAAATACTTGAGCAGTACAGTTCCAAATAACCAAAAACATCCTTGGATAATCTACAAAAGAAAGTAAGGAAAAAACAAAAATAAGTTGGTATTTCCATTGTTTGAGCCATTTCATAGACATAGCCTAGGAACAAAAAAAATAAATGCTTTAATCATGCCTGAAATAACTAACTCTCAATTCAAGAGAAAGTGTCAAAAATGTATCTTAAAATAAAGACTGTTGCTCCAATACTAATGGGCAATAACTAAAAATAAAAATATAAACATAGAATCTTATTCTCAAATTAATATATATTTATAGAAGATTTATATAGTGATACAGTTATATTTCTCTTTCACTAACAGTTTCTTATCCATACACTGCTCCTCAAAAGAAACATCAGTAATAAAATAAATAAAACTGTAATTTTTTTAACTACCTACTGAATATTAGTTTTACCTTGCTTCATAACAAAGGCAATCTGACACATTAAAATTGAGCCTCACTATAAAACTCTTACATCCCCTGTAATACATAGACCATGTTCTTAAAAAGTAAACATTGTATCTACTGATATATTTTAGAGAAAGAAAACTTATGTATTGAATAGATTGATTCTTACCCATAAACTAAGTTCAGATACATTTATTTTCAGCAAATGTGGTTTCATTGCCAGCACAGCCTGTATAAAGAAAATAACAGAATATATAGTTAATACATGTAGACATAAATTCAAATACCAAAAACTACTTTAAATAATAAGACTCTAAAGAATCTAAAATTCAGCATTCTGTACATTTTCCATGTATCATCAATGCTAATGTCTATGTTTTCTGATTTTAAGAAACAGCCATATTATACCCAGAGTAGAATAGGTGAGTGATTTTTCCAAGCTGGAATCAGAATCACCATATATAAATTCTATGACTAATTTTATATATCTGATTTTTAGCTAAGAAATCAATTAGACAGCTTTCAATTAAACATAAGATTTTTCTGAAGCTGAAAATATTGACTCAGAATAAAACTACAAATGAGATTTTAATGGATCAACTATACTTCTCTCTGTCAAATCATAAGTCTTTCTAGCAAATTGCCAAGCATATTACTTATAGCGTCCAAATCGACTTCAAAATTGGCAAAAATACTGCCAGAGATCAAAATATTAATACTTGAACTGAAATAAAATATTTCTGAACATCTGAGAAAACAAAACAAGGTATGACTCAGGTCTCAACATTATAACTAAATATATGCAAATGTATGTTTATTACTAAATATACATAAACATATTATATTCTCTAACTATTGTTAATTCATGCCAAGGTCTCAAGTGCCTAGCAGGGTACCTGACACATTTTAAAGTGATGAACTGAAATGAAGAGAAATTTTCTACACAAAGTACTTAGAATACATTTTATTCATATGCAATATTCAATTCAATGGATCTCCTACACACAGGTACCTAGAGTCATGTACTTTCTCATGGGAAATAGCAATACTTCCTTTGTACATATATAAAATACACAAGTGATTATACTCCCTCAGGAGCTCTGGTGGTACAATGGTTAAAGTATTCAGCTGCTAACCTAAAAGGTCAGAGGTTTGAACTCAGCAACTGCTCTGCAGGAGAAAAATAAGGCAGTCTGCTTCCATAAAGATGTACAACTTTGGAAACAATATGAGCAGGTCTACTCTGTCCTAGAGGGTCACTGAGTCAGAACCAACTGGACAACAGTGAGTTTGGATTTTTATATTATCACATTTCCCCACTAAGAACAGAGTTTGTTGATTTTTAAGAACTATACTTACTAATCCCAAACCAAGCCAGCTAATGCTTTCTCGTTTGAGGTTTTTATTTATTTATTTTGCTTGAAAACACAGCATTACAACATGCTAACTGCTGTGATCTGGTAGCATAATGGCTAAGGCACTTGACTGCTAACCAGAAGGCTGGCGGTTCAAACCCACCAGCCACTCCTCGGAAGGAAGGTTGGGCAATCTACTTCCGTAGTGATACTGCCTTGGAAACCCAAGGAGGGGTCACTATGAGTTGGGGTCGACTCGATGGCGCATAACAACAACAACAACAACAACTGCTGTGATTAAGTATATTCAAGTCACACAACCTGGAAAGGGTGGTGGCCCATATTGGGAAGAGGAGAGAAGTCCCATAAGTTACAAGCACAGGGAATATTAGCTACATTTCTACTACAGCTAGAAGTAATGTTCTATGAAGAGAATAAAATAATGATTTTTTTTTAATAGAACTCATTCAGTATATTCCTTACTCAAGCAAAACAAAACAACTTTCAAAATGTTTGTTAAAATCTTGAGATCAGGACGTATCTTAGAAGCAATATTTAGCCAATTTTAAATTTATTATTCAAATTTAATAAACCTTCAGATGTATCACAAAATAAAAAGGATAAAACAAATAAAAAGGTGATCACAAATCTAATTGGACATTTGGTAGAAACAATCTTTTGAATATCACCTTCACCTTCCAGAAATGTTGTAATGAATTCCAAACAAATACAATTTCCCCTTTGGTGAACATAGCAATGAGCATAATAAACATCTTTATTGTGAGCATATTCTTGGGAAATGAGTTATTAAATAAATATTATTTGTATAATAGGACAAAGAAATAGCTAATTTCAAATTTGCTAATGGGTTCTATAAATCAGGAAAACCAAAATTATATGAGTGACTTAATGACTATTCAGAAAGTAGAATATATTTCAGTTAGGGCAATGCAAAATGCTTCCCCCCCCCCAAAAAAAAAAAAACTGGACTATAGAAAAGCACATGCAGTTTAGATATAAGGAATAATTTCTTTCCCCCTGAGGTTTGCAAAACACTGTTAACAGTAAATCCCATTAAAAAGAAACAAAACCATCTTAGGATATCAAATTTAGGGAGGCTTTTACATCTCGAAAAGGAGTACTTGTGGCGTAGTGAATAAGGCATTTGGCTGCTAACCAGAAGATCAACGGTTCAAACCCACCAGCTGCTCTGCAAAAGGAAGATGGGGTGATCTACCTCTGTGAAGATTTACAGCCTCGGAAACCCAATGTAGGTCTCTTATGAATTGGAATTGGCTCAGTGGCAGTGAGTTTGGCTTGGTTTTGGTTATATCTGGAAAGCCATCCCGCTATAAGTGGCAGAAGGCATTATCAGATCTTTCATTGTTTATCTTGATTCTAAAAGATAGTTTCCTCATAATCTAACTCTGTTCTTGGTAGTAATTTAGCAAAATATAGCTGAATTCAACTCTTGACTTAAACCATCTCAATATTCCATACACACAGGCATTGATGGGAGGATGGGGGGCATGAAATAGTCCCAGTCTTGGTCTTCAATCACAGCAGAACAAAGATAAGGGGCCACTGTAAGATGTCAGAGTAGGAAAAGGGATTCAGACAGTAGAGCAGTAATAGGATAAAAACTGGAGAGAAAAGGAGTGGAGGGGAATGAAGAGCTTATAAAGGCAATCCTAACTCTGGGACCAAAACTTAGGCGATGGAATAGATGAGGAAAGAGAAAGTTAGGACAAGATGAGGAAAGGTGCTATATTTTTGGATTTTAACTTGTGGTAGCATTTCTCCCATTTGGGAAAGGACCACTTACAGTATTCTATCACATACAGAAGTATTCGAGAAACACTTGAGACTGTTCCTGTAGAAAATTCCCCAGGAATTCCAAATCAGTGATAAAGAATTATTAGTTTCAAAGATAGTCTTGTACTTAAGGAACACTTACCCAAATAATTACCAAAGAGGAAGCATAGTAAGAAGTTAATAACATTGAGTTTCCAAACATCAAAACAAAACAAAGTGCAAGAGAGATCTGGAAAAATCCAAGAAAAATATAATTAATGCACGTAAAACAACAACGAAAAAAAATCACACTGATTTTTAAAAAAAATTCATATGCCCATATAAGCAAAATTCAAATAATACAAAAACGAATATACAATGAAAACTGAGCTCATTTCCATCCAATACCTTAAATCCCCAGAAGTGACCACCATCCCGTTTCCTGTGTAACCTTCCAGAAAGCAACAAGCATAAATCCTAGTTTTATATACTTTTAAAAAACACAAATAGAAAATTACCACATAAGTTATACTATTTCTTACTTTATTCTTAATAATATGTCTCAGCATTCCATTCCATATTTTATTTAACTGGTCCCCTGCCCAGTGTTAGACACTTAACCGGTCTCCAGCTTTGTTTTGTTTGCTTTTCCTACTATAAACACTGTTATGACAAGCACCCTTAGTACATACACTTTATGTACATGGTGGAGTCCCTGAGTGACACAAATCATTAATACACTGGGCTGCTAACCTCTGAAAGGCTGGAGATTTAAGTCCACCCGGCAATGCCACGGATCTACTTCCAAAACGACCTGGTGATCTACTTCCAAAAAATTGGCCACGGAAAACAGTTTTACTCTGACACACATGGGCTGACTATGAGTTGGACTCTACTCAATGGCAAATGGTTTTATGTACATGTCAACATTTATAGGATAATTACAACCAGCAAAATAATTGGAGCAAAGGGCACATACATTTTAAAATTTAAAAGAATGTTACAAACTTACTGCTGTCTGGTCAGATCTGACTTACAGTGATCCCTCTCCTTGGGTTTCCGAGGCAATATCACTACGGAAATAGATTGCCCAACCTTCCTTCCCAGGAGTGGCTGATGGGTTTGAATGGCCAGCTTTCTGGTTAGCACTCAAGTGCCATAGGCATTACACCACCAGAGCTCCCTGGAAGACTGTATCCATTTACCCTACCACCCAGCAGAGCATCAGAGTTCCTATTGGCTCATATGCTCATCATGTATTATTGTTTTAACTACCTGCCAATCTAATAGGATTCAAATATTACTTAATTGTTTTACTTCTGTATTCTTTTAATAGTGGGTGACATTCAGCTTCTTTTTTATATTTGCTATTATGTCATTTTGTGTATGTGTATCTGAACTGCTTATTCTTATCACTGGCCATTTAGCTATTGGGTTATGCTACTTTCCTTAGCACATTATATACTAAAGAACCTATCTCCTTTTTATGCAAATGTAAATTATTTCCCCGGTTCATTATTTATCTTTCTTCATAGCATTTGTATATATTTTAAAAATGTAATTATTACTTTTATGTTAGTTAAAATTATCATTCTTTACCTTTGGGTCTTCATGATTTAGCTACTTGATTATAAAGTTTTTAGAAATAAAATAATCCACACTTCCCTCTGAAAGTTTTAATCTATATAAACAAATTTCCATATTAATTTTAAAATCCAGAGTTTCAAAAAATTGGCATCTTTTTAATTACAATTACATTATATCTATAATGCATATTCCATTGCTTATAAAATTACATCTATATAATATTAAACCTTAGATCCAAAATCAAAACACATTGTTTCCAATTCTTTTAACCCTTCTTTTTACATACATTAGAGTTGTAAAGCTTTTTCATATAGATCCTGCATATTTCTTTAGTTTATTCCAAAGCATATTATTACCACTGCTACTGTACCAGGAACATTTGTTCATCATATTTTCTGATTATTGTTTGGACAAAGAAAAGTTATATTTAATATGTACAAAGGAGTATATTCTTTCATTATTTCTAACAATTTTCAGTTTACTGATTTGAATTTTTCAGGTATCCAAAATCATATCATTTGTAAGCACTAATTTTATATCCAATTTTTGAAACTTTATAAAAATCAATTATATTAGTTACTATTTCTGCAACAGTGTTTAAGTAAAGCAGCAAAAGCCGTATTTGTCATGTTTGTGGCATTAGTGGAAAGGGTTCTATGGATTCATCATTCCATGTGATGTATCTTTGTTTTGAGAACTGTGTATGTGTATCAATAAAATGATCCATCTGTTTTTATTTGACTAATGTTTTAACAATAGGAATAGAGTCTGACTCTTATCAAATGCTTTTATAGCATGAAATGAAATGATTACGTTGTTGTTCTTTTTAACCTTCTAATATGAAAAAGCATATCAATAGAATTCTTAATATTAAATTTAGGAGCCTGGTGGCACTATGGTTAAGCAATCCACTGCTAATGGAAAGATCGGTGATTTGAACCCACCAGCTGCTCCATGGAAGAAAAGACTTGGCTACCTACTCCTGTAAAGATTAAGCCCAGGAAACTCTATGGGGAAGTTCTACACTATCTGTAGTAGTTAAGGTTGTATGTCAACTTGGCTGGGCCTGGTTGAGTGGCTGGGAAGTTGGATGTAGTTATTCCCCATGGTAAGATTGGTAATTAACTCCATGGTGGAATCTAATGGAGCAGCTGAGTGGCTGCTTTAGTGATGTGGTCTGCTTCCAGTATATAAGCAGCAGCTTTGAGGAAGGTCTCTAGCTTATGGCATGATTGAACACTGCACGCAGCCAAGTTGTTGTTCAACAGCTTGCCATGCCCTGCCAATCTTCTGACTTCTTCTGGACTTGAATTAGTGGCCTGCCATCTTGTTTGGTAACATTAGGACTGTGTCTTTTCACTTGTCAACCTCAGCAGCCAGCAGGTATCTGAGTGAAGAAACACCTCCAGCTTCACGGAGGCGAGAGTAAGAGGCAGAGCTGAAGCCCAAGGTTGAGGGGCTTTCACCCAGCCCCTAAGCCTGGAACTTTGAACTCAAGACTTCTAGCCTCAAAAAATGTAAGAGAATAAACTCCTGTTTGTTAAAGCCATCCCATTTGTGGTATATTCCTGTCAGAGCAGCAGCAGGTAACCAAAACCCTCTACAGGGAAGTTCTATCCTGTCCTATAGGGTTGCTTTGAATTGAATAGACTCAACTGCACTCAACAACATCAAGTAATTCTTGCATTCCTGAAATGAACTTAACTTGCCATGGCATATTCCCATGTTAGCTTTTAAATTTCACTAAATGGATAAGCAACTGAAGCCTCAAATACTTAGAAAAATAGTTTTTGTCTATTAGTGCTAAAAGTTAAGACTAACTCTGAAAGTTTCCTAATCACTTTTGGCAAATATTAGAACATCCCATGTACATCCTCACGTCAGAGCATATATGTATTCTGTTTCATTTAACCAAATGGCTGGCTCCCTGCACTCCCTCATCTCCTCATATCAATGTCACCTTTTTAGTAAGGCCTTCTCTCATCTCTCCATTTTACTGCAACCTCTTCTACCTACTCAGCAAATATTATTGTTCTTGTTTGCTTTATTTTACTTACTAGTACTTACTATCATCTAACATACTCTTTGTTTTATATACAAGGTCCATGAAAGGGGGGATATTTTGTTGGTTTTTATCACTGCCATAGCCTCAGCAACTTTAAAATGCTTAGCAAATAACTGATAGTCAGAAATATCAATTAATTTAAATTTGAAGAAAATTTGAAAATTAATAAGTTAAGAAAATTGAGAACTTAGAAGGTAAAGAATATAGGAGACAGCTATATTTTCTTTGTACATTTTTTAGTATTGTTTTTAAGTTTTTTTTTCTTTTTAAATCATACTATGAACAACTTTATATTAATAAATTTCACAACTTAGATGAAATGGGAAAATTCCTAGTAAAATAAAAATGTCTCAAGGAGAAGTCTGGATAGTTCTATTACAGTAAATAAATTTGATCACTAATTAAAAGTCTTTCCACAGGGAGAAAAATGGGCCCATATATATTTATAAGCAAGTTATAATGGACTTTCAGGGACTAGACCTTCCAATATTACACAAGATTTACTACAGAACAGAAAAAGTAGGCACACACGCTAACTAATTCTAAGAAGTAAGAATAAATATGATATCAAAATAAGTCAAGTGTAAGAAAGGATAATTAATACTATCTCTAGCCCATGAAGACTTGTAAAAATTCTAACAAAATAACAGCAAACTGAATCTACCAGTGTATAAAAATTATGTTTAGGCCAGAAAAGCAAGGTTTCTTAGTGGTGGAAAATCAATTAATATAATTGATCAGTAATAGACTGAAGAAGGAAAAAGAGCACAAGATCATCTAAACAGATGCAGAAAAGTATTTGATGAAACGTAGCCATTTATTCATTTCTTATAAGAAGTGCTTGAAGCCTGATGAGGACATGTTAAAAGGACACAAAAGCCAGCTTGAAGTAGGTAGTCACATATAGAATAATTCCAGCATCAAAATTAATAATGAAAATAATGGATTATACCACACTGAATAAAAGAGAAGCCAGGAATCCACAAAGATAGGCAGACACAAAGAATGAGAATAGTTCATGAGGAATGGGACATTTACATAGTCTCAAATTATCTCCCCTCAAAATACTTTTTTGAGGGGAGATAATTTAATAAAATAAAAATATTTTATTAAGATAATAAAATATTATCTCCACTTTATAGTGGAGACATATGGCAGACACCACCTCAAATCAAGTGATCAAAGTTATCATAATCAGTAAAAACACCCAAACCAAACTCACTGCCATTGAGTCGATTTCCAAGGTTGTAAACTTATGGAAGCAGACTGCCTCAACTTTCTTCCATAGAGCCACTAGGAAGTTTAAACCACTGACCTTGTGATTAGCAGCCAAATGCCTTAACCACCAGAGCTCCTATAATCAGTAAGGGGACAAGTAAAAAATCACAGACTATCTGAAACAACACAATGAGAAGAACACAGAATCACTGCTGTGACATCCCTGCCAAAGACAGACAACTTGAACATCATCACGAGGAAACATCAGATGAAACCAAACTGAAAGACATTCTACAAAAGAGCTGGCTGGTAATCTTTTTTATGTATTTTTATATCAAGGACATGAAAGTCAAGGGAAAACTAAGGAAGTGCTTCCAGATTGACAGAAACAAAAGAATCATGACAACTAAAGAAGTGTGTGCTTCTGAACTAGCTCCTTTGCTATAAAGGGCATTATTGAGACAATCAATAATAATAATAATCAGTGAAATCTGAATACTCGATGGTAGTACTGACTGATGTTAATTTTCTGATTTTGATGGTGGCACTGTATCCTTACAGGAAATATATATTATTCAGGAGTGATGGTACATCAGGTCAGCAACTTATTCACAAATGCTTTAGGGAAAAAGCTCTTTGTAGGATACTTGCTAAATGGTTATAAGTTTGAGATTACTCCAAAATAAAAAAGCAAAGGAAAAAAAAAAAAAAAAAACCTTCTTCACAAACTAGGAACTCAAAGGGAATCTTCTTTAACAAAGACTTGCAAAAAGTCTATAGCAACGCTAAAGACATTCTCTTTAAAATCACATTGTCCATTATCAGGATTTCTATGCAATTCTGTCCTGGAGGTCCTAGACTACACACTAAGTTGATTAAGTTGATGAGGAAGGGGATGTAAATATTGGAAAGGAGAAACAAAGCTAATTATGCAGAATTGGAATTACTATTCAGAAAATCCAGAGAATCTAAGATAAATTATTAGAATTAGAGAGTTTAGCAACACTGTTAGAAATCAGACCACTACACAAAAATCAATTGTATTTCTATACACCAGTAACAAACACATACCAAAAACAAAACCAAACTCATTGCCGTTGAGTCGGACCTGACTCATAGTGACCCCTCCTTGGGTTTCCGAGGCGTTATCACTACGGAAGTAGATTGCCCAACCTTCCTTCCAAGGAGTGGCTGGTGGGTTTGAACAGCCAGCCTTCTGGTTAGCAGTCAAATGCCTTAGGCATTATGCTACCAGACACATAATTCACCAAAAATACCATTTATAAGAACAAAAAACATTATACCTAGAAAATGAACACAACAAATAATTGGAAAAACCTTTACAAAAAAAATGTAAAATGTTATTAAAAAATAAAATCTTTTAAGTTTTAGAAGAAAACCATGAAGAAGATCTTTATGGCCTCTCAGTAAGGATTAAAAAGTACTATCATACAGATGAGTTTTATAATGTTTATTATACTAACACTAATGTATTTTCATTAAAAGATACTGTAAAGAAAGTAAAAAAACAAGTTATAAACTGTGATATTCACAATACATAATTGACAAAGCTGTATCTAAAAGATATAAAGCACTACAACTTAAAAACAAAAAAAGGGCAAATAACACAAGAGAAAAATATGCAAAAGCCATAAATAAGCATCCACAAAAAAGGAAACACAAGATACTTTATTGAGATTATTTGCAAATTCTTAATTTGCATAAAATTAAGATCACAAAATACCACATGACACTCACCAGACTAACAAAATGAAAAAGGATGTAGAATAAAGTAAACTGTTATACACGGATGTTTGAAATGGTCCAATCATTTTGGAAAAACAATTTGGTATCAAATTATGAAGTTGGACATGTACATTATTTTCTACTTAGCAACTCTGCTACTCAATAAATACCCTCAAGAAACCCTTAGTACATGTGCCCTGGGAAATGAGTGTAAAAATATACAGCATTATTCAAAAAAGAAAAGAAGAGGAAATAACCTAAATTCTTTCAATGGGAAAATTGATAAATTGTGCTGTATTTATATAATGGAAAATATAAAGCAGTGAACATGGCTGAACTCCATCAACATATGAATCTCAGAAACCTGAATAAGAACGTAAATCACACAAAACGATACCATTTTTACACTTTACGAACAGTTTCAATATTTAATAATAAAAATATATATTATTTGTGAATACATATGTAGTAAAGTTTTAAAGAAAAGTTAGTTAACTCTAATAAAAAATAATTAGGACAATGGTTACCTCTAGGAGAAGTAAGGGGGTATGTTCAGAGCATGCAGGGGGGTTCAAAGGAATAAGGTTCTATTTTCTAAGTTAGAGGCTGGACTCATGGTTGTTCATTTTTTAAATTTGTTCATAATTTCCCTATACATGTTAAATTATTCTTTTATTTTTTCATAGTTCTTCTCATCATCTAACATATTATATAATTTACCCATTCCCTATGTTTATTACTAATTTATCCTCTGTCTTCCCTCTCCCACTCCGTCACAATGATCCCAGCTCCTCGAGTGCTAGGATCTTTCTAGCTCTATTCATTGGTGTATCCTACTTCCCTAGGTAGCCAGAGCTCAGTGAATGAGCATTAGACTTTATTTTAATAGAAGGCTCTTGGAAATATGCTATTCTATTTTTCAATTTCACCAATTATCTTTTTACTGATAAGGTATACTCAATGCACAGATGAAAATAAGATAATACGACCAAGATTAAAATTTCTCTTTGGAACGAAGATTGGGCAATCTACTTCCATGGTGATATTACCTTGGAAAACCCAAGGAGGGATCACTATGAGTCGGATTCAACTCCACAGCAGTGAGTTTGGTTTTTTTAGTTTTGGGTCGCCTATTTAAAGCAGATAGGAGCTCTGGTGGCATAGTGCCTAAGGCATATGACTGCTAACCAGAAGGCTGGTGGTTCAAACCCTCCAGCCACTCCTCGGAAGGTTGGGCAATCTACTTCCATAATGATACTGCCTTGGAAACTCAGGAGGGGTCACTATGAGTTGGGTCTGGCTTGATGGAACACGACAACAACAACAATTTAAAGCAGGGACTACTGATTACATCAGTTTTTGAATGACATTTGTTTTGATTATAGAATCATGTTACAACTAGTTTCAATCATGAACAAATCAAATATCAATCATGTTTTAACATCAGAAGACAGTAATAAAAGCAGCTAACCTAATGACACCTTGCTAAGTGCCAGATACCATGTTAAGAGTCTTACATACATTACCACATTTAAAACAAAACAAACAAAAAACCTTTACCATATGTATATAAATGATCTTCCGTAATTTGCATATATCAATGTATCCCACCACATATACTGCAAACAATGATGCAATCTGAAATTTATAAAGTTAAAAATAAAAATTACATATAAAACAAGTAGCTATAAAAATGAAGAAAATATTTATTGTCTCAAGTTGACTTTATCCAGAAAGAGACTTTAATTTCATTTATCAATTTATTATTGACTATCATCAACATATTACTACATCAAATATTGGTTGATTTTTCTCTTTCATATATGGCTCTTCCAATTAACTGTGAACTGTCTACTTTGTGAGTTATCTAAAACAATAGTAATTTTAATGTCAGGTTGACTCTACTGTCAAGTATAAAATGTTCTATGCCATTAAAACTATAAAAACTTAATTATAACATATAGTAATTAATATATAATTAGGAAGGTACATTTAACTCAAAAATAATTATGTAATGCATGTGTGAGTGAAAATATATTAATTTTTGCTTGTTAATCGTGCTTTACAAGTATGTTCTATCCTTGTTCATTAATACAGATATTCAAGCATTGACTATAATCAAATTTATCACATTTCAAATTAGGAAGAGTACTTTAACTACAGAAGTATTTTTGAATTGCTGTTTTGAAGAAAACTGTATAAGGATTTAGCAAGAATTCTAATATTTGAGTTAGATGAATTAATAAAACGATGATAATGCACCTCTCAGTAAAATACAGAGGTATCATGATAAACACTGCCCCTCTATTCTTCCTCATGGACAAAGCAATTCAAACTTAAGTCAAATTAAATTCCATACCTCTCCTACAACATCATACTATAAATAAATTGAAAAAGAGCTGAATAATTGAAAATACAACTTAAGTTCCATTCATTAAACTTTATCTCTAACAAATCTAAAACAGATTTTCCCATCAGCAAGAATAATCACAAGATTTCCTTTTACTCAGTGTTACCCATGGGAACAACACTCCATTGTGTATGTGTGACAGAAAATGCAAAACAACTTTGAGGAACTCTACCTTGCTATTACTCAACATAAATCCCACCAAGATACTTAATACTTCTTCCACCAAACCAAAGAAGCCAAGCCCAGTACAATCTAGCCAATTCCAACTCATGGGAACCCCATCACTATGACACCCCCCCCCCCCCCAAAAAACAAGGGAAAAAAAAAAAAACCTACAAAAACAGGCCATCCCCTCTAACTAGAAGCAAGGAAAACTCACTGCCATCGAATCGAATCTGACTCATAGCAACCCCTCCTTGGGTTTCCGCAGTGGTATCTCTATGGATGTAGATTGCCCGATCTTCTTCCCAAGGAGTGCCTGGTAGGTTTGAACCACCAGCCTTCTGGTTAGCAGTCAAATGCCTTAGGCACTACACTACCAGAGCTACTTTAAACTAGAAACTGTAAAATGTCATCAAACTAAAGATGAGGAAGTTGAAGACAAGTTCAAAGTAGGAAGTACAAATGCAGTCAATTTTTAAAAACAGAAATGAATGCAGTTAACCATACTGTCATCTTTCTAAATACCGATACCACATTAGGAGTTTTATATACAAGACTACATCTACTCCTAAACATAACCCAATAAACTAAGTTCTTTTATTGTCTCTATTTCATAAACGAGAAAACCAAAGCTATGAAAAATTCAGTACTTTGTACACGTTAACAAGCCAGTGAGCAGAGATAGGACTCAAATCTAGGTTTGACTCCAATTCCCAAGCAAGACATTTTGATGAACATTAAAATGCAACTTGAATTGTGTTACTGAATATGGCCAGCATAACAAAGCAGCAGCAGGCAAAACAGAAAAAAACTAACCCCTTCTCTATCAACAAGCTACTTGCCTTACACATCCCTGTTTGAAATGAGGCAAGAGCACACAGAGAAATGATAGAAACATTGCAAATTGTCAGGGGAGTTACATAATATATGAACTAAATTAGCTTTTTATCCTGTTATCTGTACTTTAAGACAAACACTTAAAATCATAGCACTAGTCCTCTTTTAAGGACACTAACAAATTCTGGGTAACACAGATAAGCATTCTTACAAATGTGAATTCAGGAAGTATATTCTGGGAGCTCTGGAAGTGTATCCCTTAGGCATTTGACTGCTAACCAGAAGGCTGGCAGTTCAAACCCACTAGCCACTCCTCGAAAGGAAGATGGCGCAATCTACTTCCATAGTGATACTGCTTCGGAAACCCAAGGAGGAGTTGCTATGAGTCAGGTCTGACTTGACAGCACATAACAACAACAAAAACAACAATCGTATTCTACTAGTAAGTAAATATTGATAAATAAATCTCATATATTTCCCTACTCTGTTTTTTCCGGAAAGGTATTAACTAAAATCATTTTAGGACTTAAGAATCATATAACATCTAAGTTTCATAATTTTATACAAATGAGTTCACACTATCAAACATACTAAGCTTAAATTAGTTTTTAAAATATAATCAAATTACCTGAGTAAGAAGTACAAACTGAGCAAACTGCCAAGGAAGTATGAAAAATATATTGGAAATGCACAGTGCAATCAAGCTTCCTCTATAAAGTTTTGTAGCCCTTGAAAAGATAAAATAAATACTAGTAAGTTTAACCACATGGCTTAAAACGGCTGCACATTAGAATCTCTAAACATGATCTGGCTATAACAAACTGGACATAAAATTAATCAAAGGGATAGAAGTATAACTCCTGATATTCAATTATAACTATCCTCTATAAAAATACTCATTACTGTACAGTACAAACACAAAGTCTTCAAGGAGAGGGATGCCAGCCAGGTCAGTATATGCATTAACTTTTTTTTTTTTCCCCCAAACTATATTTTGGTCAATTCATAATCAAACATTTTTGAATGCTGCAGTCAATGGATTCATTAGTTGGTGTGACAGATTATGTTTATAAAAATAATAGAAAAGGGCATAAATACTAATATTATATAGATGAGTATTGTAAAAATTTAGAATAAGGGGTGAGCACTGAGGGAGATCCTGTGGAGGTTGTGTGATAGATATTGGATCTTAAACAGGTAAAGTGTAGAACAGTGGAGGGGGGAAAAGGCACAGGCCTTTCAGGAGCAACATTTAGAGGATTAATTTTGGTCCTGACCTGTAATTTAGAGAATTTTAAGGAGAGTTGGGTAATTTTATCTTTCATGCTAATTTTAGGAAGTGCTTTCCTTCTAAATCTGTGAGCCACTGTGAACTCTTCAAGTATCTTAAAATCTTCACAGAATTGGAATCAAGGATTCTTAAACTCCAATTTATTAATAAATTAATGGAGCAAAGTATTATGAAACATAAAATAATAAATATTTCATACATACATATTCATACATAATAAAGCTTCTATTCCATGAAATTTTAATTTTAAATCTGTGTTTGTTTCTACATACGTATGCGTATATTAGCTCCATAGAAGAGATATGAGGCAATCTATTTCCATAAAGATGTATAGCCTTGGAAACCCAATGGGGTCACCATAAGTTGGAAGCAACTGCATGGCAGAGAGTTTTGAGAGTTCTTTGGTATAGGAACTCTAAATTGGAATCGCCTTATATGGGTTTGATTTTTGTTTTTCATACTGCTTTTGAATGAGGAACATGATTTTCGTTTTGTGGGTAATAACGAGAAACTAAAAATTTCTAAGTGGAGTGTAAAACTAATCTGATAGTGGGTACAGCATGCATTCAGTGGAAAGTGCAGGAAAAAAAGGGGAAACAAGGAATTCTAACTGGTGAAGTTTTGATTAGTAAGCACTGAACAAAGATAAGAGAAAGGGAAAACAGAAGAATGCCAAGACAAATAGATGACTCCACAGTCATAGTGGGAGACTTTACTTTAATACACCACTTTCAATGAAACATAGAACTGGAAAGAAACTCAACACACATGAAGAAGAGCTCAACAATCCAATACAATAACTTGACCTTACATACATCTACAGAGCACCCCACCCATTCTTTTCCAGTGCACATGGAGCATTTTTCATGATAGACCACATGTCAGGCCATAAAGCAAGCCTTCATAAATTTAAAAACACTGATATAGTCCAAAGCATCTTCTCAGATCATAATGCTATCGAATTAGAAATCAACAGGAGGAAGACCAACAGCAAAAGAGCAAACACATGGAAACTGAACAACAACCTCCTTAATAAAGACTGGATAAGAGAAGAAATTAAAAACGAAATTCACAAATTCCTTGAATCAAATGAGAATGAAAACATAACATACTGAAATCTTTGGGGGACAGCAAAAGCATTGATCAGAGGCCAATATATAGCAATAAATGCACACATCAAAAAAGAAGAAAGAGCCAAAATCAACACTTTAAACTAACATCTCCAACAATTAGAAAAAGAACAGCAAGAAAAGCCCACAGTCACAAGAAAGAAGATAATGAATATTTGAGCAGAAATCAATGAAATAGAGAGCAGAAAGACAATAGAAAAAAAACAACAAAACTAAATGTTGGTTTTTTGAAAAGATTAATAAAATTGACAAAAGACTAGCAAATTTAGCAATGGAAAAGAGGGAGAGAATACAATTAACACGAATAAGAAACAAAAAGGGCCAACATCACTACAGAACCAACAGAAATAAAAAGGATAATACCAGGATACTATCAAGAACTGTACCCCAACAAATTTGAAAATCTGGAAGAAATGGACAGATTTCTAGAAACATACCCCTTACTTAAACTAACACAAACTGATGTGGAAAAGTTAAACAGATTAATAACAAAAGAAGAAATTGAACAGATCATCAAAAAATTACCAACAAAAAATAATCCTGGCCCAGATGGTTTCACCGGAGTATTCTAACAAACATTCAGAGAAGAACTGCCACACAAATCCTACTCAAACTATTTCAAAACACAGAAAAGGATGGAATCCTCCCTAACTCATTCATGAAGCAAGCATAACTTTGATACCAAAACCAAGCAAAGTTATCACTCGAAAGAAAAACTACAGACCAATACCCTCATGAATACAGACGCAAAAATCTTCAACAAAATCCTTCAACAGACTCCAAAAACATCAAGAAAATAATCCATTATGACCATGTGAGGTTCATATCAGGCAACGCAAGGATGGTTCAACATTAGAAAAACAATCAACATCATGTTTTTGTTGTTGTTATGTGCCGTCAAGTTGGACCCTACTCATAGCAACCACTCCTTGGGTTTCCAAGGCAGTATCACTACGGAAGTAGATTGCCCAACCTTCTTTCCGAGGAGTGGCTGGTGGGTTTGAACCATCAGCCTCTTGGTTAGCAGTCAAATGCTTTAGGCACTATGCCACCAGAGCTCCCAATCAATGTCATACAGCACACAAATAAAATGAAGGAAAAGAACCATATGATCATATCAATCGATGCAGAAGAGGCATTTGATAAAATCCAACACCCATTACTGATCAAAACTCTCAGCAAAATAGGAATACAAGGGATATTCCTCAACATAATAAAGGGCATCTATGTAAAACCAACAGCCAACATTATTCTCAATAGAGAGAGACTGAAACCATTCC